CTCCACCTCCGACCACCCCACCCATAAAACACATCATTCCCTATCGCCCGACCTAAAACTTCAACTCCACCCTTAACCCCATCATTACCCAGCCAAACCGTCTCACTTAACCTCCCAAACATCGACTGAGTCAATGCCCCCGATAAATGTCCCACTACTTCCCACCGACTACTCAACCCAATCACCACTGTTTTAACCGATTTAATCTTCTTCCTACCATTATATCTCTGCATTCCTTCAAACCCACCTATACAAACAGCCTTACCACTCTTTCTAGATAAGACTCTTACTAAACAACCACTAATTGTACTACTAATTTCAACTAAGTACATCTCTAAGTCTATTTTATTTTCTCTTTTTAAGTCCCCTGCAATGGGACTCACACGTAACGGTAAACATAAGCGTTTAAGTACTGGAGGAAGAAGAACGGCCAGACAGACCTCAAGATTACATAGTATTGCTAGACAGCCAGCTAATACTAGAATTGGAGAGACTAAGATTAAACAACTTAGAGTCCGTGGTGGTAATTTCAAGATGCGCGCATTAAGACTTAACAGTGGTAGTTTTACTCTTCGTACGCACAACTTCTCTTTAAAATCAGCTATTCAACAGGTAGTTTATCACGGGAGTAACAATGAGTTGGTCAGAACTAACACTTTGACTAAAGGTTGTGTAGTTAAGGTTGATCCAACGCCTTTTACGCCCTTTATAACTGAGATTCTGGAGAAGGAGAAGGATATTGCTGAGATAGATCCTAAGTTTGTGGAGGAGTTTAAACAGGGTAATCTTTATGCCGTAATTACCTCACGACCTGGACAGTCAGGTAGTGCTGATGGTCATTTGTTGCAAGCTGAAGAACTGATCTTCTATGCCGAGAGGTTCAAGACAACCAAGCAAAGGAAATAAATTGGATTAAGTTATGATTTGAGTTGAGTTGAGTTGTGTTAAGTATGGTGTTAAGTCAAGTATGAGTTTGGTATGGGATGGTATGGTGCTTAGTTTAATTGGTATGGTATGGTGTTTAGTTTGGTTTAGATTAGGCTTATATTAAGTTTAGTATAGGTTAAGTCAAGTCAAGTCAAGTTTAGTATGAGTTTGATGTGGTGTCTAGTTAGATTAGATTGTATAGATTAGATTGGTATGGTGTGGTATAGTTTGGGTTAGGATAAGTAGTAAATAGTAACTAGTAAGTAGTAACTAGTAAATAGTAACTAGTAAATACTAACCCAATACATAACTTAAACATAACTTAAACATAACTTAACTAAATGGGTGTTTATTGGTTAGATGGGGGAGATGGTGTGTGGTAATTGGTGGTTGCGGGGATATATGGGTGGAATGGGAGATGGTTATGAAGAATTTTGGGAGTTACTTGCTTCTTTTGGGAGTCTCAGTTAGTTTGGTAGTGACGGTGTCTTCAGTGCTGACCCGGAATAGTAAGAATAATAGCCCGGTTAAATCGAGTACACCTGGTAGTAGTGAATCGACTGGTGGTAATGAACAGGCTAGTCAAAGCCCGGTGGTTTAAATTGAGTTAGTATTGAGTTAGGTTGGTATTGAGTTAGGTATTGGTATGGTATGGTATGGGTTAGGTGGTAGTGGAGAGAGAGGAATAAATGGGAGTGTTTGATTTATTGGTCTTGGGTTGTGTTGGGGTGGTGGGTTTGGAGATAGTGCTGGGCTTGGACTTGTGCTTGGGCTAGAGAACGTTTTTGTGGGTTGTAGTGGAGTAGGGTTTGCAGGATAGTTTGTAGACTGGGTGGTAGATTAAGTGGTATGCCTGGTGTGGTTTTGAGAAGGTGGCCGTAGGGGTACTGCTGTAGGGTTTGTATATCTTCGGAAGTAAGTCCTAATTGGCTGGTGATTTGATAGATTTGGTCTAACTCGCCGGTGCCGGGGAAGGGTAGTTGGTGCTGCAGCATTTCGAGGAAAACAATGCCTAGTGACCAAATATCGATGGCATAATCATAGTTGGTCCCTCCTAGGAGTAATTCTATGGCCATATAAGGTAAAGTGCCGGGTAGTTTGGGTTTAGGGGCAGATAAGTCTTGGGATATACCAAAATCACTGATTAAAATTTCATTGGTAGTGGAGATAAGCAAATTGGACGGTTTAATATCGCAATGAATAATACCTTGGCTATGAATGTAAGATAGACCAATAGCTGTTTGTAATAAGTAAGTACAGGCAGTGCTAGGACTAATAGCTGGTATAAGTTGGGCTAAAGTAAAGGGTTGTTGGGGTGTAACTAAATAGATAGAGCCTGGCACAGTAATTATATCTAGTACTGGTAAAATATGTTGATGTTTTAGTCTTTGCAGATATTGGAGTTCGTTGGGAAGTGTTGAATTAGTATTATTTTGAGGTAATGGTAGTTTCTTTAAGATGACAGGGGTGTTATTATGGCAAGATCGGCCGTAATAAAGAGAGGAATGGGAAGAATGGGTGAGTTTTGAACCTCTTTGGTAGTGAATCGACGAAAATTTTGTCATGAAGTGTCGTACGTGCGTTATAGAGATAGAGACAACTGCTATTAGTTATCATTATAAAAGTGACTTTCATAGTGAGAACTTAAGACGTAAAGAGGCGGGAATTGGGCCAATGACTGAGATGGAGTGGAATACGTTAGAAACAGAGAAATCTAATGGGAGTGGAGTTGGTAGTAATGGGCGGAGTAGTCGATCGGATGTAGCTAAGAGTGAACACCAAGAAAATGGATACTCTTTGGGTGTAGGCGAGTGTCTCTTCTGTGGTACAGTGGTAAAGACGGAAACTGAGCCGTTTTATATGGACGTAGAGTACTTAAAGCACTTGCATACGCATGGGTTTAAGCTTTTAATGACGCAATGCATCTCTGATCTTTATGGATTGATGACGTGTTTGGTAAAACGGATTGAAAGTTGTCGTTGTCTCTTCTGTAGTAAGAGATTCAGTAGTATTGGTAGTGCTCGGTCGCATATGGTCTCTCTCTTTCATACACGCTATGTTAATTCGGATGAGTATGATGAGTACTATACTTACCCTGAGCCTAAGCCTGCCTATGTATCGGCCGATGGGGCTGAATTACTACTGCCTAGTGGGAAGATTGTTGGTAATAAGAAGTACATGAAGTATTATGCACAAACCTTACGAGAGGAAGGATACTACAAGAACTTAGATCCAATTCGGGTTAAGTTTGAAGAGAAGAGGATACAAGAGCGGCAAGTGTTTGAAAAGACGCAAGAAGAGCTAGTGCAAGTCGAGAAGCACAAACGACGCGAGCAAAGAAACGACTTGAAAGTTTCCAAAGCTGCTAACAAACAGACATATTATCGCGAGGATTGGTTGCAATAAACTGTTGTATTGGGTTGGTATTTAGTTAATTTAAGTTAAGTTTAGATTGAGTTAGATTGAGTTGAGTTAGGTTGGGTTGAGTTGAGTTAGAATTTTGATAGGGTGAGATGGTGTGGTGTGTTGTAGTGTGGTGTGAGATGGTGTGGTGTAGTGTAGTGTGAGATAAGATAAGGACGGGGAGAGGAGAGGAGAGCATTAGTTGAGTTTTTTTGTAGATACTTGATGGACGTATTGGGAGAGAATTGCTTTTTGCTCTTGGAACAGATAGGAGGGGTTTCAGATATTGAATTTCTGCAGCGGTTGTGTGAGAGGTGCGGATTACACTTGTATGTGGAGGAGAATCGGCGGGGGACTAACTATATGTTGAGTGGGAATGCTTTTGTCTTAGATATCTTCTATCGGAAGGAGGAAAGTTTGCAGGTTAATGATAGCTGGTTGGTTTCGGATAATCAGAGTATTGAAAGTAGTGTGGTGCAAGTGGGGAAAGAGAAGATTGAAGATGTGCCATTGCGTAAAGTTGATAGGGTTAGTCTGTCCTTGTTAGATGAGTCATGGTCGGTTTATTTTCAGATCTTTACCCAGCAGGTCTATCTCTACTTGCGGCATAAAGAGTATACAAAGTTATACGAGTTGGTTTGTAATGTTGCTAAGTATGATAGGGAGTGCCAAGAAGGCAGGGAGAATAAAGGGTTTGGGACGTTTGTGGAGCAAGCTAAGCAGTTGGAAAAGACTCTTGGTAAGAAAGAAGGGGAAGTGAACTACTGTGTAGCAACTCATACTCATTGCGTGCTCTGGAGTAGCCCGGATGCGGAGAGTTATCCTGTTTATGCTGCCATTGCGGGTAAGAAGAAGAACGTGAGCTTTTTAGGTGAGAATAAGAGCTTGGCTGAGGTAGAAAGGGTGGTTGAAGTCCTGCGCGAGAATCCATTACTATGGCGAGTTGTGGCGGAGTCTTTATTATTTGGTATTGGACCTTTAGTTAGTTTAACTCTACAGTCGGTGCCAAGTGGGCTGGTATTCTGTGAGATGGGCCCGCCTAAGAAGCATGTTTTGATTCAAAACAATGGCTATGTTCTAGTCGGAGACACGCCTAGCTCCTATCAATTTCATTCCGATCGATCACTACTGATTAAAAGAACCCATTCAATTTGGTATCTAATCAAAGAAGAAGGTATTGTTGTGGGGTGAGGTGAGGTAAGGTAAGGTGGGGTTGGGATGGGATGGGATGGGTGTGGTGTGGGATGAGATAAAGTAAGAATGAGATAGTAAGTTAGTATTTATTGTAGTGTTTATTGAATTGACGAACTAAATGATTGCTTGGCCATGGTTGCTCTCTTTAAGGTGCGCGAATAGCTGGTTTCGCGATTCAAAGACCTTTTTACACTTGGCACATGAGAGGGCAAAGGCTGCTCCAGAACGAAGATCTACTTTTGATGGTTTGCTTACTGCTGGACGAGTTGGTTTAGTCGGAATTGACTTGGCTGGCTTGGCTGATTTAACAGTCTTGGTGGATTTAGATGGAATTGGCTTAGTTGGTTCGACTGGAGCCAAAGGTACTCCTGGAGTTACCGAAGCCGATTCAGTCGCTGTATCAACCGGTATTGAAGGACTTATTGGCTTAGTTGTAGGCGGTGGAGTCGGCTTGGGCGGTGGCGGCGGTGGAAGTTCGCCTTCAAGGTTTTGAATCTCCATGGCATGAATAAGAGCAGCAATCTCCTCTTCGGACATACTGGCAAGTTTGTCTTTATGTTTCTTGGAGTTTGCATGATTAGTTAGCTGATTGATGCTTTTGAAGGCCTTTTTACAGGGTTCACAAATAAAGATGTCCGTATCACTGCCTAGTTGGGCCTTTTCTTTGGCTTTAGTGTATGCATCCTTCTTATCTGCACCAAAGGCCGGGTTGGCTTCTTTGTACCCCTTTTCTAATGCAGCCAACTCTTCCTTGGTAAGCACATGGCTTTCTTTGAGCTCAACGCCCTTTTTAGTAATCTTGGGCTTAACTATACCGATATCAAAGAGTGGTTTAGGCGGCGGGGCTAAACGAGGATCTTTCTTCTGAAGAACCCGAACGATCTCTTTGACTTTACCAGCATACGCTATTCGTTTGGCGCCAATTAACCGTTTAAGCTCTGCATCGATCTCTCGCTTGGCATGTCGGGGCAGAGTATCGTAGTAAGAAGTCACACCGTATGGCGTTAAGTTAAAGTGCCTTAGCGTTGAGAAGGAAGCATAGAAATCATAGAATCCTTTAGGGGAGCCTTTAGCATAACCAAAAGAAGGCGGGTGGTATGTTTTACCTCTAGTAATCCGCTCGATCTTAGTTAGCTCATCAAAGAAATTGTTTATGTGGGCAAAATCGCCATCTCCTATCTTAGTCAGTTTTTTAGCCATATCGAGCCACTTAGCTAGATCTATCTCTGGCTCGTACTTATTTTGGGTCGAGGAATATGCAGCTGCTGTTTTGACTGGACTATCAAGGCGGTTACAAAGAGTGTCGTAAGCATCCTTTATCTCAGTAAACCGTTCGGGGGGTGTGCCCCGAGCTCGAGCAGTTGCTGAATCCGGATGGAACTCTAATGCTAGCTTTCGATACGCCTTTTTAAGCTCTTCTTTGGTCGCTGATTCTGAGACGCCCAGAATCTCATGGGGCGCTCTATTTGGCCGGCTAAATGGTGTAGACGTTCTCTGGCCCATGAAAATTTTAATGGGGGACTTACACCGAGATAAGATCCCACTAGTCTTAATCTGAAATTTGGCTGATTTTGGGCTAGTATTGGGTTAGTTTGGGGTGATTTATTGATAAATAGGGGCTGGGAGAAGAATAGGAGGTGTGGCAGATAGTGTGGATGGATGTATGGGTGGTATAAAGGGGTAAGTATATTTAAACTCCTTGATTTTACTGATTACTGATTGGTTACCCGATTTGGATATTAAAAGTTTTAGCGCCAACTGAAAACCGAATTATCATGCGGAGTTATTTAAGTATTTGGATTGGATTATTATTGATATTATCTGCTGTAGATTGTGCTGGGACTAAAGATCGGGCTGATTCGGTCTGTGCATCACAAATGTCTATTAAAGCGATCTGTGCGGCTGAATTAGAGAAGTTTTCGGCTGAAGAGCTGTTAACGACTTTGCGTGCTAGTAAAGTAACTAGTCAGCACTTTGCCTTTGGAACACCGACTAGAAAGGGCAAAAAACTAGCACTACGGTGCTTGGAACGGCCAAAGCAGATCATTGATCGCTTCTTGGCAATGAGCCAGCCGGATGATGAGGGAGAGGGGGCATTAGACAGTGTAGAAGGTCTTGATGAGGACTTTCACTGCAACTACCAGCGACTTATGGAAATGATTATGGCGCATCAAGAGCTGGCTAAGGATATTGAAACTTCGTTTATGCGGCATTATAAGGCCAGCTATGGAAAAGAGATGTCGGAGGGATTGAAAGAATACTTTCAAACTCGGACGGACGTTCTGTTTAATCATTTGGACCGGCAAATAGGTGTTCTGGAGTTGGTGAGTGATAAAGTAGTGATTAGAAGTTCGACTATGGCTGCACTTCTTTTGGATTTACTGGTTGATATGAAGAACAGTATGCCACCCGAGATATACGAACAAAGCAAAGGACCATACACTGATTTAATGAAGAGAATTATGGAGCAGTTGATTGTCTATATGCTTAAGGAAAATGCCGGACTTAATGTTTTGTTGAGAAAGATAGCTAGTGTAGAGGATTTACCGATTGATATTAGTGAGCCACATGCGAACATTCAGTACTTTATTAAGGACATTCAGAATATTCAAGCTAGATATCGGGCTAATCTTGCTTTAGAACAAGCTTTGGGGATAACTGATGAGGACGATCCTAATCTATTGATTGTTGATGAGTACAATGCTATTCCCGTCACTCCATCTCCAGTTGTGTCAGAATTCAAGAACTCAATTCTTTCTATGCTAGATGATTCAGCCTTGCTTATCTTTCAGTCGAGATTGCGCGACTTGATTAAGACGAAGGTAAACTTGCTTGGAACAGTTAAAAAGGACCAACTCGGCCAAATATACATGACGCGGCCTTATTTCAAGGCAATTTACACTCTTATTGAGGAGCTGTTCGTTTTGAAGTACAAAAACATGTACTATGGCTTGCTAGTTAAGCTGCGGCCTAAAATTGCTATGGCCGACCGGCCTGTAATCCCACCCTTCTTTGAGGAGCGGGCTTTGCTGTTGGGGAAAGAGATAATCAAGTGGAATTTGTGCACGCATGATCACAAAAGTGTGGTCGGGGCCCTAGGAATTAATGAGGCTAATATGGTTCGCTTGTTGCATCAGTCACTAGATAAGATTGTTTTGAGTTACTCTTACTTGGCAAGACGGCTAGAATTTCAAAAGAAGACTAGAAACTTCTTCTGGCAGTTCCTCAAGGCCTTAAAGGAACCGAATATTTCAACGCTCATGGATTTACAAACAGTTGAAAAAGGTCTTGATCTGTCTAACGCCGAAATGAAGAAATTACTATCTCATTGCCAAACCCTTTATAAGGGAGAGGCACGACGACTGTTTAAGGCCATTCTCAATCGAACTAATAGGCTTTCGCAATACATAAACCGACAAAAAGGTCCGGCAACAAGAACTAGGTCGTTCTTAGCTAAACTCGGCACTTATGTTAGGAAGCTCTTTGTTATTAATCCTCTCTACTTGCCTCTTCCGTATCAACAAGAACTGCGCGATGCAATCAGTATTCTCGAGTCTAATGGCTCTAATGCTTTAATCACTCGATTAGATGCTGAAAGCCTGTCACTTAAGGAAAAACTGACCCGGTATCGACTGGTCCTTACTGAACTTCTACCGATTTACCATAAAATAGATATGCTCCTAACGTTCCTTGTTGATGAAAACGACCAAGCAAACTATCGAGCTTACCAAGAAATGCTGAGACAGGAACTGATTGCTCTGGATCTTGAGAGTATGAAAAAGCTTCCGTTCAAGCAATACTTGAGCTCGCTTGTCCAGTCCAAGAAGCACTTTACTTCCTCTAAAGCCACCCAAGAGTATCTTAGCGAAATCAAGCAAGCCATTGAAGAAACCCGCAAGGCAATCAGTTGTGCCAAACAAGATAAAAAAGCAGCCAAAGTCAATGCTCAGCCTGATGATATCTTAGATAAGCAAGATATAAAAAAGAAGCTATGAAAAGCTAGTATGCAGAATATTACACTAACAAGCAATAGGATGGCGTTTTAAATAAATCCCATTAATTTTATGCTCATATCATATCATACCAGCCCTGCCTAACCCAATTAGGGCGTGTCTTTTCTTTAAAGGTTAACCGCAGCGAACAAGATGCGCTAGATTGTTTGATTTGGTATTAAGCTGCTTTATTGATAAGAAGGAAGCTGTTGTTCACTAAAAGATAAAGTTGAATTTGGGATAGATAATTGATTGGTTGTTTTTGCTTCTAAATTAGAAAATTTCCTAATATGGTAATTTTGTTGTTATGTACTTTCAACCGATTTTTTGCATCAAATATGTTTAATCAAAAGACAAGAGCTATTGTCAAACTACATATGCTGTTATGTATGTGTTTGCTTATTTTGAGTTGTCAAGGAGCTAGTGCCGCAAGCCAACCTAACACGGCAGTAATAATTCCCCCAACATTGATGGATTTGGCCAATAATAACTTCATTTGGGCTCAAAACAGACTAGAACAGATTAATAAGGCCAATGATGGCGATGAAATGACTCTAAATGATGCCGACGCCTTCATCGAATCCGGGTTTTATGCAGAATTGGGATTCGAGCAAGATGATTTAGACCGAGTTAAGCGTATAGCATCTCTGCTAAAGGGTCTATTTATACAAACTAATATGACTAAAATCGATGCATCCTATAATATAAATGATGTCCCCGAGCTTATAGTTTTATACCATGCTTTAAATCGCAACCTAAAAGGGGAAAACCCAAAGACCCCTACAACCATCGATTCCAAGCATAAACGCTTCGTTGAAAACCTGGCCATGTTCGTTTATTCAGCTATTTATTTAAAGGATAATACGCCAGATGGTTTTGATCTATTTGAAAAAAGATGCTTAGGATCTTCAGAATATGCCAACATTACCGGAGCCCCATTAGACAATGATAAGCAACCTTTATTCTCAGGGGACTATCGCACATTTATTCGCACGAAGGAGCAGATTTCCTCCTTGGAAAATAGTCCTCTCCTTAAATACGCCCACCCAATCAACACTGGGATTTATCTTAAGGGTTTAAAATATACCTATTGTCGTGCCCCGGGGAAGGGATAGTACCTTTCAACCAAACATATTCGACTAAAGACCGATTTTGAAGAGGACGATGGGAGAATTTATTCAACTCTGCTTCTTCGGGAGTCTCAGATATGTTACTATAGCTTAGGTTCTCTTTATCGTACGTCATCTTGAGATCTAGAATTCGCTCTTCTCACAAACTCAGATTATATTTATATCCTGAGATTGTGATTTCTAATTCAAGATTTAATCGCGTTCGCTGCGATCAGTGCCAAGCCGATAAGTATTCCAGAACTTTGCCCCTGTAGATAACTTACTTTGAAGTGGAGGCCGGCGAGGACACCACACCTATAATAAGAAAGAAAGGACGATCAATATAGTCGATATAGACCCCAGCAATCCATTGGTTTACCCGAAACTTTTCCCTACAGGCATATCCGATCAGACTTGGCTGTCTTTTACTATTGCTGCTCGTTTAAGAAATGCTAAAGATAATGAATACGCCATGGTGGCCAATGATAAGAACTATCGGATTGTTCGAGTTATACTAGACCCCACGAGATCCTCTTCCGATTCTAGCTCCGCAGCTTCAAGCCTACTCAAACTAGCCACTGGTGTTTTAGTCGGTACTGTTGTACTTGCCAGTGGATTTATAGTTTCTGTGCTCAGTGCCAATTTCGCTTCTATCAGTGCGTTTTCATACATAACAGAGCCCGCTGTCATACTAGTCACGGCAACGGTCTTTTCTCTTATGCTTCTATTCCTCGGAAACCTCTCAAGCACTAGCTCTACCAAGATCCGTCCATTTGCATACGGCCTCTTTAGCGCACTTATGGTTTCACTAACTATTGTCCTATCGCTTATCGTTTTTTACCAAACAATCAGCTATTCTAAGCAGTCTGGAGATAATGGTATGATTGTAGCCAATGTCATTATTTTGGTCTATCAGGCAATATCATTCTTCTCGATCTGTTTATGTTTGGCCATCAGAGGATTACTTAACAAGTTTGCCAAGGGTATAACTAGACGAGTCCATTGGATGCTCTATGTCATGGCATTCCTATTGACTCTTCCTGTTCCAATCCTTTCTATCTGCGGCTTGCTATTTGATGCTCAAGTTCTTCTCAACTCTCATATTCTAACGGTTGCTGCTATTCTCTTTGCCGCAGCTGCATTCATCCATGTCTTTGGCCACTGGTTTAATGAAGATATATCTGAAGACGGCAGCATATCTAAGCGAGATTCTAAAGACACTATGGTCAAAATAATTAAGTTACTGATCCTTCTCAGTATCATGACCGCATTGCTTGCATTCGCAGCCTGGGCCATCAGCTACTACACCATCCGGTCTGAATCGCACGCCTATACTGGTTCTTTAATTGAGAAGGTCTCCCGCTATCTAAAGTTCATCCCACAGCCCAACTAATCCAACCAATCCAACTAATCCAACTATTCGGAATAAATCAATCTTAATCCATATTGTTATTTAACTTAAACTCTATCTACTAGATAGATTATTAAGAGCTGTGTTATTTTAAATCTAAAAACAAGAAGCTAAGCTTACCATAATTTGGAAAGAGTCTATGATCATTTAATATTTCATTTTGGTTAAGTTAAGTTGGGTTAAGTTATGTTAGTATGTCTAAATAATTAGATATGTAATTGAGTTAAGACAGAGTACTGGTTTATTGGGTTAGTTGGATGGAGTTGGAGCTGGTCGGGTGATTCTGGCATGAAGTAGCTTCAAGGAACTAAAATCGAGTTTCAGGATCTCAGTTTTGATCTGCTTAATGACTTTGTGATGAAGCTTTTGATAGGTTTTTTTGATATGTCTTCTAATCTTGTGTAAGCTTTTCAGTTGATGGCTGATATCGTTGATAACGGGAGTACACCATTCTCTGTACTCTGAGGTCTGGTTTGGTTGATTAAAGAGTTTTTGGGTTAGCAAGGCCAGCTGATTCTGATGATGTAGATAGGCTATATGAATAATCTCATCTAATTCGTCAGTCACTTTCGAGTCTTTCTTGCTTAGAACGTTGCGGAAAATGGTGATTAGCATTTTGACTTCGCTTGGGTCATAGGGAGAGTTGGAATCGACATTGAGGAAGTACTCGAGGACGCCCCGAAGGAAGAGCAACTTAGCATTATATTTGTCAGATATGTAGATTAACCTAGAACGAGTTTCAGTGGCTGCGGTGTTATCTAGTACATCTGCCCGAGCACTTAGAGTTTGAACGAAAGAAATAGTGTTATTGATAGAATTAAGGGCTGCTCTGAGAAGCTTGCCGTTGGCTAGTATATCATTACGTAGTTGCTTCCAAAAAGACCAGTCAATTACAGTAATTGACATATATTTCTGGATGAAGTCTTGGAATGCAGTATCAAGCCACACTACCGGGCTGTGTCTACTCGGTTGTGCATTATGGCAGGATTCCAAACAACTAACGGACCAGATAGACTCATAAGTCTGCTGAAAGCCATGGGAGATCAGGATTGCGTATTCATCCAATAGTCTCATTAGCACTAAGTTAGGTCGTTCTGTTGCAATTTGAGCATCCGGGTCATTTGATCTCTTAATATAGTAGATAAGCTGTTCTTTGATAAACACAAACTTCGAGATAGACTTTTCTACTTCGCTAAAGACATGTCGCATATCAGATCGAGCATTAATGCACTGGGATATGCCACTAAATAGAGCGCCAGGAGTATATTGAGTCGTGGTGGGCGGAATCTGGGAAATGCCCCAAATAAGGTGCAGTTGCTCAAAATGATCTGTGCCGGCCAGGCTGCCCATTAGAAAAAGTGGACGAGAAGCTGCGCTTATTCGTGCTTTACGTGGATTAGCAAACAGAAAGCCCAGGATGTCCTTAAGATAGCCATTGCGTTGAGCTATGGCCGCATCTTTAGCGATGTTTCTCTTGGTGCTTATTGAGCGCTTGGATATCTCCAAGAGCGGCGCTGCTTCAATAGCCGAGGCCAGAGACGGAGCATTGGATACGACTCTAGTGGTATCGCCAAATTGAACACCCACACTCAAGTCATATTTTATTCCAGCCGGCGCGGTATCTTTCGGCGTCTTAATCGACATTGGCAAGGCTACCGAATCTTGGTCTACATAAGTGGGATTAGACCAGGTCGGGGCTATAGTCGGCCCAAATGGCAAGGCGTTGCCCATGCTCAGTGTTGTACCAATAGCCGCCACTCCACTGACTGCTGCCCCCAAAACCTGGTTGGCACCTAGCAATAAGCCTAGAGTCATCAGCTGTGTTATGCTCAGCAACCACATTAGGAATTATAGCAACACGCAGGCTTATATACTTTTTCCTCAGGCAATCATTTGATAGGCTGTTAATATTCTGCCAATCTAATATTAACTTAATTTCAGCCCAACTAAACTCCATCAATTGATCAATAACTTATCATTATCAGCCAATCCAACCCAGCACAGTCCATCGCATTCCAAGATACACAGCCGGACAAGACATAAGAAGCATCAGATAGTATTTAGGTCGTTCCTACCTCAATCCAACCCATCCTATGCTAGTCTTTTATATAATTATTGTGTGTTTACCCTCTATGAAGGAAGTACAGCCCGCTAAGGGAAGAAGAAGGACGGTTATGCATCCTAAAGAAACAGCCCAAGAAAAAGCCAGAAGAAGCTCAGTGGTGGCCAAAAACACCTCTCGAGAGTTCCTTTGCAACATTCAGGCCACGATCCAAAGTCTACTTGACCAGGAAGATACGACCAAGAACAAGACTATTACAGTGGAGGATTCAGGGCCAAAGCGATATCAGTTGGAAATGCACAATGGAAAGCCAGCCTGGATAGAAGGCAACTACACAATTTCAACCCTTCTACAGGAGTTAGCTTTAGTAGACATAAACTTTCGCACAGTTATTGTGCCAGAGGACCGGCTAAACGAAGATCCAATGGCCAGACTGACTCGGCTTATTAAAAACTGCTTCTGGAAGAATCTGCGACGAGTGCTAGATAAGGATGGGCTAAAGTTAGCCCTAATTGACACCAAAATCAAGCGGGTTGAGTATTTTCTTTATGTGCCGGCCGCAGATGCAGCTGCCTGTTCGTACTACAAGAACCTAGAAAGTGCTCTAAAAGCCGATTCATTTCAGATCAAGCTTTTGAAAATCACCTTGCAAAAGAACAGCCCCGGAATCTTCTTTGGTGATACATTTGCGTCACGCGAAGTTCTTTGTAATACATCGCCGGGTCTACTGACTCTGTCTACCCGTCGTTTTCGTCTCTCGAGTAGTGAGTCGCCTTCTCTTAGTGCGCCTGAGCGGCTAGGTAGTTGGCACAATCCTATTATTAGCCGAAGTGCTACAGTGGTGGCGGAAGATGGACCTTGCCCCTTTTATGTTCCTGGTGGGCGGTTCAATGAAATGTATGGCTGGGATTCGTACTTCATTGCCAAAGGCCTTATTCATTCGGGAGAGCTAGGAGAGGCCATGTGTATCGCGGAGAATCTGCGCTATCAAATAGATTCGTATGGAAAGATTCTTAATGCTAACCGAAGCTACTATCTGTTTAGAGGCAATCCGCCACTGTTCTCAACTCTGATCGACGAGGTGATTGAGCAATTGGGTCCCGACGAAAGAGAGACACATGCTGCCTGGATTGAAAGCTGTCTGGATGCCGCCCTTAAGGAGTACAAGTATTTTGATCGGGGCTACAACGCCGAGCTTGGGCTTACTCGCCATGCACCTGGCGGCAAAGGCATTCCAATGGAAACTGAAGAGGGCCATTTCTATTCAGCTATTCGTACTTATGTTCCAGGAGCGACCGACTGGACGGTTAGTGAGCTTGAGGCCTACATTGAGAGGTACAACCGCGAGGAGGAGACTAGTGTTATGCTTGAAACTTATTTACAGCACGACCGGGCAGTCAGAGAGTCAGGCCACGATAACTCCAAACGAGTAGAAGGCTTAGCTGCAGATCTTTACACCGTCGATCTTAACTCTTTACTGTACAAGACCGAAATGGACATTCTTCGCCATCGTGACATACCCGAGCTACAAGCGAAAGCCGCCCAAAGAAAAGCGGCAATTAACACAATCCTCTGGAATGGCACAGCATATTACGACTATAATATGCACACCAAGGAACTATCTAAGTATAAAGGAGCGTCTACTCTCTATCCTTTGTTTAGTCGAGCAGCAGATCCGGAAAAGGCAAAGATCCTCATTGCGAATCTTGATGATTTGGTGGGTCCGGGTGGGATCCTAACTGGAACGAAAGAGAGCTGCCTTCGCGAGCCGGGTGAGCCGCAAAGACAGTGGGACTATCCTTATGGCTGGGCTCCTCACCAAATGCTTGCCTGGGTAGGTCTTATCAACTACAACGAGCACGCGCGAGCGCGCAATCTAGCCCTTCGGTGGTGTACCATGGTAGGTCGGATCTTCTCTCAATACAACGGCGCTGTGACTGAAAAGTACAACGTTGAAGTGGGGTCGCATAAAGTTGAAGCCGAGTATGGCAACATTGGGGCTGAGATTGAGTACGTGCCTAGGGAGGGCTTTGGCTGGACGAACACCTCCTGGCTAGTTGGTCTGGCGCTTTTGAATGAAACAAGCCGAAGAGAGTTATATGCACGCATTAACCTCGGCCAGTAATTCTAACCCAATAGGGACAATAAACACTTTTAGGCACAATATATCTTAATCATCCAATTATATAGCAGCTGTGCGGCCTTAGGCCAGTACGAACTTGTAATTTATTCTATAACTCTAATAAACTGGTTGCTATTTATGCCTTATCAACTATCCAAGTCTAGCCACAATAGCTCTAACGGAACCAGCTCGATAAATAGGCAGGAATGAAGCCTCGGCGCGTGGGTTTGGGCAGTATATTTTCAAGTCCAAAGATACTGGCTCCAAAAAAGGCGTATCCCCAACTTTGACCGAAGCAATAGGCCAAAACCAGATCTATCAAGTGGCCAACGATATCGGAGTATCTTTGGCAACGGCTGGCAGCCAAGATAAAAAGGCCTAGAAAAACCGTATTTGGTAGGGACAAATGCCAGTCCGGCCTACCGATTTTAAGCCGGCTAGTCCGCAGTAACTTACTATAGTTGTCCAAACTGCCTTTAAGCCAGTCTTTTAGTTGTTGCGGGAAGGTCTGAAGGGAGAGGTAGGTGTTGGCCGCACTGGACCATAATGAACTTTCTGGCCCGCGCATGAAGTCTTTACCGGTTGCCTTCTCGCCATTGACCTCAAAGCCTTCTCCGCCTACTGGCTTGCGCTGGAGAATAGTTAGGAACACGCCAGTTTTGAAATGCTTCAAGTAAAACCGACTGTCCTGATGAATGGGTAAGCCAAGCGATGGTGTTCCTTCTTCACGAATGAGCACAAACTGTGAATGTTCAGAAGGTGTTGGCGTGCAAGAGACTTCTTGGTTTGTGATAGTTAGGGGCGAAGCTACATCAAATGTCTGCAGAAACTCACTGCTCTCTAGATGTTCCAAATGCACAATCATCCCACTAACTAATGGAATTGCGGGCGGCGGGTTGCCTTCGTGTCCTTCTATATAGAGCCGCCAGAAAGACTCTTCTTCCGTTGCAAAGACCGTTCTAAATCCACTGCCCATCTTGCCGCCATACTCACCATAGAAAGACTTACCTGGCTTGATTCTAAACCCTTTACTCTGTAAACGCACCAAGTCCGTGGAGAGCAAAGCCGGGCCTAAGTTATTTCTTGCTGGCCATCCAAAAGACCCAATAGCCAGTACAGCGGCTACAGCAATCGGCCAAGCGCTTCTTCGCCGTAGAGACAAAGCAACAGCTCGGCCAAAGCCAAGCGGAGAAACCATTGGCACCGCCACCGCCAACCAGCTGAGCACTGAGTATTTCTCAGAAAGAACTCCAAGAAGCAGCCCTAATGTCTCACTTGAGGCCGTCCACGGAATGTTTTCTTCATTCAGTAGCAGATAGAGGAGAGGTGCGCTCTTGGCAATATTATTGCCAACTACTAAACAGGACAAGATAGCCCCAACAATGCCGGATATTTGGTGGGCGTGACCACTCACTCCATAAAGACGCTCAGCCAGCCATTGCACCGGCAGAGAACATGGGATGTCTATTACATCAACCCCAGAAAGAAGACTTGCTAGAACAACCGTGCAGATACCTGCACTAACAAAACGCTGCCTCATTCTACACTGTTTGTTTGGTGTTGAAGCTACTTGTTTAGTCCGGGATATGTGATTAGACTACTTTATAGCCAAGGCCTATATTTATGCCATTCCTAGACCATTCCCAGACTAGTCTTATCAAAAACGTTTAATATATTCTTTGTTGTGTATAGGTCAGATAACCCATTTATTTTGAACAGCAGCCATCTGTGTGAGTTTAAGTCTAAACAACACCTAGCATTAGTGGAATACATGAATCTTGCCAACATAATTGTCAGAGCATACAAACCCAATAGAATCTTGCACATAATGCAGTGTAATTTGGATCAGCGATGATAAAATCAAGTATAACACAGGTTCCAAGAGAAAAACCATCGGAATCCGTATACAAAGACCAAAAGCTGTGATAAGATACCGGAAGATTGCATCCGGGAAAATAGTGTATAGGACAGATACAGTGAGGGCTGATTCAGGAAGAAATCAGATATAATATTGAGTCGAGACATTAACTGGGCGGGGAGAGTAGTGAAGAAGCAGAGAAGGGCCTGTCTTCCCTACCACTATTCGATGGTATATGGTTCGCCGGAGCATTGCCAGCAGTGTTTGCTATCTTATTAGCAGCAGCATTATTTAGCAGAGCCTACAACCACCCTTGAGCACCACCATTGTCTTATTCTGTTTATCTGGTCACAAGTGAAAGTATCAGCCCTTCCTGTCCATCACCAATACAGGTTTCTTCTTCTATCAGCTCCTCATGAGCCACTGAATTTGATGGCCTGCTAGAAGGGGGAGGGTTATGCTTTAAGAACATCATAGTAAAACATGGTGTGAAGAACAAAGTAATGGCAAGACTACACCGAGCAGAACTGATGAACAAATAAAGAATCCTTATGATTATTGCCCCTCTAACAGACCGTTATACAATATAATACTAATTCGATTTGAAGTTCGAAATTCGTTAAAACGCGTTAATTTCCTTTTATGGTAATGTGTGGTCTTTTAATGTTACTTTTTTGTCAACCTAGATGAACATTGCAACCACGTCTAGAATAATGAAGTTATTAGTGCTTTTACTAGTCTCTTTATCCCTGATTAATTGCATCGGAACAGTGCCGGCAGATGAGGTGGAGTATTATAACTTCTCAGACAAATCATCAAATAGGTCAGCAAAATCAACCATGACATCAAAGTCATCCGGATTAGGTACGAACAGTCCACAAAATGCGTATAATAACACAACTTCTGAATTAACAGCACCAAAGGAATCAGACCAGACAACACACTCAAGATCATCCGATGAATTAACGCTTGAGAATGAAAAGGCGCGCCTTGTCAACCATCTTATAAACTCTAGTGCTACAAACATGAGTCAATCCGAGAAAGCAGCCGAAAATAACATACATTCTATAAGCTATGGAGTTACCACACTGATCGCGATTATTATAATGGGAGCAGTCAATTGCTTTGCTTTCCGGTACGGGCCAGAAAGGATAATGATTTATGGTTTACCCCTACTTGCTCTTGGTATTGGGTTTCTTATTTGCAGCTTCCTCGTCAATAGTAGCATGTTCCCTTTCAACTTCACAGTCCGGCAGGTCTTAAGAATATTTACCGCCACCATTGCCATACTAGCTGCTTTAGGATTACTAATAAGCACATGGTTCTTCAACAATAGTGGATACATTAACACAAAAGATATCGAAGCAACCCAAGTAATTATCATCGCGCTCTTAGCTATAGTTCTAGTAGCTACAGCCATTGCTACTATCGCCAAGCTAATCGATAAAACTCAAAAGCAAACAGTCAGTCCACGAAAGGTCTACTATGTCTTATACATGTTGTCCTTCTGGCTAGCCACACTCATTCCTATTTTCACTCTACCAGGCCTAGCCTTAGATGCGAGTATCCTTGCCAAGAGTCATGTTCTCTTATTTTCCGCCATTACTTTCATTATTGCCGCCATTCTTGATATCTTTAAAGTTTCTTCTGATCCAAGCAGACCAGATTATACCTCCAGTCAGCTCAAAACCAAGTGCATTAAGATCGCACTCCTATTCTTAATCACAGCTATGCCTTTTACTATGGCATGCATTTGCATATCACAGTATAAACTACTTGCCTATAACCCAAGTGGCATCATCGGGTACAATCCAGACGGAGCAATTCTTTACCCACTACTGGTCAAGACAAGGCAATTCCTTAATCTATAAGACCAGTTTATAATAAATAGATCAAGCGTTAGTTTGAGTTAGTTTAAGTTGGGTTAGTTTGAGTTGAGTTGGGTTAGTTTGGGTTCAATTTATTGATTATGAGCGCAAGGTGTTTTCCCGAGTGGCTAGGTTAGTATTTAGTTGGTAGTTAGATTAGTATATAGTTAGATTAGTAGTTAGATCGAGTTCAGTTTATTTAGAATTAGGTTAGTTTGGGGCAGTATTTAGATTCTCCCACAACTTCCTACAACACAATACCTACAGAGTTTAACAAGCAACTTACTATCGCCCTGACTTAAGCTAAACTTAGTACACTATCAACACAGTACAGCCCAAACTAAACCCAACCCAACCCACCCCACCCCAAACTAAACTCAACTAATCTAAACCCAATCCAAACTAAACCCAAACTAATCTAAACCCAACTCAATACACTATCAACCCAATTACTTTTTAGTTTTGTTAAATGCCATTCTTATCACTAGTTAATCACTTATTACCAGCCAATATCTACAACTACCTATTACACCCTTAGCCACCACAACAACACTACAAGAACACCACAAGAACTCAATAATCACCCATTACTATCACAATATCCTAATAGAGACGCGCAAATTACTTTTTTGTTATGGATGTTCTCTTTGGTGTAGCTACTCATGACTTTGTTCTACTGGCATCGGATATGTACTTCCGCAATAACGTTATAGTAAGCAAAACAGATCTTGTGCGTTTCACTAAGATCTCTGAACGAGCAGCCGTAATTGCATCTGGCAACCAAGGGGACTGTGAACGTACGATCCGCTACAACCTGGAGAGTTTGCGCTTCCAAGAAGCAGCTAATGGCCTTGTGCTTACTGAACAGACCTTTGCCTCTAGACTTCAGAAGCACATTCATTCTCTAGTCCGTCGTAAGCCCGTGGAAGTAACAGCTCTTATTGGTGGTATATCGTCTGGAAGTGGTCTTCTGTATACTATTGACCAGTATGGAGCACTAACCACTACCAAGTATGCCGGTACGGGCTATGCAGGCAATTTGTTCCTCAGTGCAATGGATAGTAAATACCGTCCGGATATGTCCGAAGAAGAGGCCATTGACACTATACGCAGTATCTATGAAGGTATCAAAAACAAACTAGTGATTAACTATGGAAATCTCCATTTATGTCTGATTACGCGTAACGGCATGCGCGAGATAAAATAAAGAGCTATTGTTTGGTTTAGGTCCAGACATAAGTCGAACTATACTTGTTTGTTATGATTGAAAAGACAGAAGCTTTACACCGAGCTGCTAAGGTCGTCTATTTGTCGGCCCAGAAGTATGCAGGGACCTTAGCCAGTATGCATCCTGAGGCAATTCCAGATAAGTTGCGTTCTTTAGAGCAGTACTTGCGGCGTAAGGAGGTTGAAGTTCGGGCATTAGAAGCCGAGATAGAAGCGGCCGTGCTTAAGGAAGAAGAAGCCAGTGAAAATGAAGTCTTGCTACAAGTAGCTGATTTTCTTGGTACACAAGGTCTAGTCAAAACAGCTACTACTTTAATCTCAGAAACCAAAGCAGCCCATCTTATTTCCTTAAACAAGTACTGTATTGCACAAGAGTATGTTCGTAGTATTGACTCTATCCCGGCCACGCCTGCAATTGAAGCCTCAAACACTAATACTAATTCCGAAGCTAATTCAGCCTTTATTACTTGGCGTTTCGCCACACTCTGCCAAGAATCCCGTTCAGCCGCTCTTGTCTTCTGCAAGCAGAATCAAGCCATTATTCCGGTTCGGGCCTTATCACTTCTAGTTCTTCCCCCGAATAGTCTTCTGTTTCAGAAGATTGCTGATTCTTATGCCAAAAGAAAGGTCTTCAACAAGTTAGCCCAAAATATGCCGCAATGCCGACTCTACCAACGAGTAGCTCTAGGTATTTCCGGGTTTACCACACCGGCCTGCCGGGAAAAGGAAGAGAGTTATTGTCCCGGGTGTTCCGCTAAGAGTGTTCGTATTGCTCGTGGCTTCCCTAAAAGCATGCGCACTACCACCCGGGTCCTCTGCAGCACCACCCACCAGCTCATTCCTGAAGGCGCACCCATCCTAGCCAGTCCCAACGGCGAAGTCTTCCTCCAATCAGCCGTTATCCCCGATTCAGCCACACCCTGCTCTCCAGAGTACCGGGCCTTCCGCCGCTGCTACTTCGTATAGACATTGCTTTATCTCACCTTACTTTATCTTATCTCAACTTACATCATCATAATCAAATCATAACTTACTCAAATCATAACTTACTCAAATCAAATCATAACATAACATAACATAACACAATACAATACAAACTTAATTCAACTAAATCTTAATCTCACTTTACTTCATCTTACTCATCTTACACAACTTAATCAAAATCAACAACTTACACATCTTAATCAAAATCATAACATAACACATCTTAATCAACAACTTACTCATCTTATCACAATCATAGCACATCTTAATCAAAATCATAACACAACTCAACCCAATACATAACACAACTTAATCAAAATCAAAATCAACAACCAACCCAACACAACTCAATATCAATATCAAATACTAACCAAACCGTTGCTTTATTTAGTCCTTTTGGATGTAGTTCTTGTTGGCCTTGTAGAGGGTAACGTAAACATAAGATCCCATCTGGCTGGGAGTAAGACTCTTCTCAAACTTAGCCCGTAGAACTCCTGAGTTCCCGTGAACCCCAGTAATGATACCTCGTACAACCCGTTCTTTGAATCCGGACGCCTGAACCTTTGTCTTAGCGATGTAAGCCTCTACGCCGTGGTCAATATAACGCTTAGCTTGTTCTCTGGTCACAACTGAATCTATTCTAAGTAAAGAAGTCTTATCATAAGTACGTCTTTGGCCCCTTCTTGGTGAAATGAAGGTGGCTGGAATAGTGACGTTTTCTCTATTAGCTTTGTACTCAGCATATTCCTGTTCGGTTTTTGGAACGATCGTAGTACTATTCATTGCAGGGGTGTAAATATTTTAGTAAAATGTAGTGGTTTACTATCTAACATGTTTCATATCAAGAATAAAAGAGGGAGATAGTGAGTTTAGTATGGAGAGTAAAGTAAAGGAATCTGTGTTAAGTTCGGGTTATAGTGAGAAACATAAAAGAATTAGGGAAAAAGCCTTAAAAGAGGCTAGTTTTGGGGTAGTAATGGGTAATGAATCTTGTGATCAAGACTCATTTGTAGGTGCGCATATTCTGGGGGTGGTGGAGGAGAGAGTTCCGGTGGTTAATTTGCAGAGAGAAATATTTCAGCATAAACGGGACTTGATGGTACTGGCGGAAATGATGGGTTTGGGGTTGGATGACTTGGTTTTTCTGGAGAAGCGAGAGAGTGGTTGGGTGCTGGTTTGTGGTCAGATGTGTGTTAGAGTGGCGGATGTGCAAGTTTCAGCGACAATTATTGATCATAACTTGCCGAATAAGGAGTTGTTGGCTATGAAAGGATTTCGGGTCGATCGGGTGATTGATCACCATCCGATTTTAGAAATGAATGCGATGTACACTCAGTTGGATAAGTTACAAATTGAGTTGAAGGCTGGATCTTGTTGTTCTTTGATTTATAAGGAAATCAAGAGTAGACATGGTCAGGAAATAGTAAGTAAGCCTGGGGAGTATAGGTTTTTAGTACTGTTATCTCTGCCGGTTTTAACTGATACATCAGAACTATCCGATCGCACGCATGATGTGGATAGGTGTGCAGTTAAGGAATTGGTAGAACTAGGTGGAGTGACTAGGGAAGATGTGAATGCATTGTACCATTTACTGAAGAAGGAGAAGCGGAATATTGATGGGGCACCTACGGCGGTGATTTTACAAATGGACTTTAAGACCTTTGAGTTTCCTCCTAACTGTGCTGGAAAGGTCTTTGGTATCTCTTCAGCTAAGTATCCCTTTGATAATTGGGTAGCTCGGGAAGGAGATAAGTTCTTGCCGGAAATCAAGAAGTTTGCTACGGCTCGGCATCATGAATTCTTTCTTATCAACAACCATAACAATGGCGTGCGAGAGCTTTTCCTGTTGGGAAATCCAGGACCTGACTTTGTCCAGGAAGTTATGTTTGCTGGTGGACCAGTCAATCAGCGTGAAGTAGCACCCGGTGTTGTGGTTTACACTGTTGAGGGTACTTTAAGTCGTAAGCTGATTGCTCCACGCATTTACACCTACTTAAGCAAGCACTGTCCCAACACCAAATAGAATTAAGTTAAGGTAGGGTGAGGTAATGTGATTGTCGTAAGTGGGAATAAAGAGTATTTTATGGAAGTGTAGATACTATGTTAACATTAAAATATAATGGGTTGAGTTGAGTTGTGTTTGGTTAGGGGTGGATTAAGAGTGGGATTGTGTTATAATAAAAGGGTATGTGCTATCTGATTTTGGTTTTCACTAAATTAGGCAGTAGCTCATATTAGTGTAAATTTTGGTGGATTTTATTCATGGGTAGATTGGGCCGAATGGGATCGTTGGTAAAAGAAAGGACTTCTTGGTCTGCCATTGGGAGTACAGAGGAACAGACTCTGATTTATAAGGCTTGTGCGCATTTGAGCCGTCAAAAAGATGTTCTGGAAATCTTAAAGTTCGTTTTAGATGAAACTAGAACGACTCTTTATATTTATGGCCGGCCAGGTTCGGGGAAGACACATACGGCTAAGGCTATCGGTGAAGTCTTAGTTGAGCAAGGACTAGAAGTTTATTATAGTAACTTGGTGATTGATCCGGAATTTGAGGCCTTATCAAGTGGGCCAAAAACAACAACAATTCTTTTGATAGCTGATGAGTTTGAAGGAAAGAAGGCGAGTCGTTTGTACATTCGCCAGAAAGATAAGCTTGAAAAGAAGATAGAGAAGGAGAGATCTTTATCAATGAAGTCAAGTAAAACAAATAAGACTGTGAAAACAGTCGTTCCTAAAGAGAAATCAGCACTGGTTTTCAAAACGATCTTTATCAGCAATCGAAAGAGTCAAGACGGCCTTCTTTTCACGCCGTACACCAAAGAAGAGATCAAAGCTATTCTGGACCAAGACAAATCGATGAGCGCGATTGAGAAGATCATTCGGTTGCGAGAAGGCGTGGAACGGGCTGACATTCGAGTTTCACTTGGGCGGCATATGGTGTTGCCAACTAATGGATCTAAAGGCTGCGATGGCCAGGTTTTTGGCCACTACCACCAATTCATTCAACAGCGAGTTGAGGAAGGAGTGGTTTGTATTAACACTTTGTATGCTGAGTTTCTGACTGCTATGAAGCAGAAGGGAATTTCAGTGATTCCCAAAGAACTTTTCCAAGACATCCTTGAAACGTATCTAGATGGCTCTCGCTAAGTTGTACTTGTATTGAGTTAGTAACGAATGGGGTTATAGTGGTAAAAGTACTATAAAACTAGATCTAACCCAATAATAGCCTAAAGTTAGCTTAAATACTGATATCAACTGAAAATCAGCAGTATTACCCAATAAGGAAAAAACTTAGTTATAAATAAAATTTACATCCCAAAACCGAATATGACTAACAAAGTTTCTCCAGATCAATCAATACTAACCGCTAGTGGAGTTAATCATGAGCTGATCTCTGCTATACTCGAAGGTAAATATTCAGATAAGCAACCCGATCCTTCAACCGGCCAACAGCCCCTATTAAGCACCAATCACTCAACAGTGCATGTACATAAAAATACCTATGACGCAACAAATATCGATAGGACAGAAAGAGTCCAATCACGCCCAATATTTGGCATCCGATTTAGTACATATCTAAAAATCCTCGCAGTCTTGATTATAATAGTGTTAATCGTTGGAGTGTGTGTTTGGATACACTTCAATATCCAAGAGATAAACAAAACACGGCAAACGAATCTGCCAGAAGATAGTCCGTTGCGAGACTCTGAAATGAGAGATAGAATCATAAATGATCTAAAGAAACAGTATCGCCGTCCAGGAAGTATGATTCCACAGCCATGGCTCCAATTTCCTGCAATTAAGCCAGACAGTCTATCAAGTGGGACCAACCCTATTGTTTCCGGCAATCGACTAGCACCACGGCCTATATATATACCTTCAGTATAAATCGAGGGCAGTAGAGTGCTGGGTTTGCATAGAAGTGCATGAGAAAGACCCAGCACTGCATAAACACCATAGATATCCCGATGGACTTGGCCGCTATAAGGCTTCACACAAAACTTTGGCTAATTACTTTAACCGTCACTGCTTAGAGATTAATTCCGGTATTTCCAAATCTTAGAAAACAACTCCTGATACTTCAAAATCTTAGAAAACAACTGTTTAGGAAATAAAGACTATTTAATATAACATTGAGTTAAGTTAAGTATTAGATTGAGTTGGATTAGGATATGTATTGAGTTGAGTTAAGTTAAGTATTAGATTAGGTTAAGGTGTAGTATGATAATAATCATCACTACACATCACTACACATCAACCTAACCCAACCTAACCCTATACTAATCTAATATAATACTAAGCCTATCTTTGATTGAAATGTGCTGGGATGTGATTGGAATAGTATTGGTCTGGCGTTTACGAATCTCGTGGCCATCAGTGCATACTACAGCTAAAACAATAAATTCGGCCGGTTTATTCATGTTGGATTCAAATAATGTGAATACGATGGCCCTCGCCATAGGTCGTATGACTGTTGAGGTTGGTGAGGAGATCGGGAATGTCTTTGTAGTGTAAATAGAAATAAACTTGGCCATCATGCCATGTAATGGCTTCTAGCCATTTAGGGTTGGCAAAAGGTACTTCAGAGTCATCTTTGGCAAAAACAACGCTAGACAAAGGAATGCTTATCAGTTGGTGAACATTCTCCCACATCTTTTCACCCATACAAGTTGGACACTTATTGGTTTTCTGAACATTGGGCATGCACGTATGACAAACAGGATGTCCACACTTGAAGAAGCAAAGCATTGTTAAATCTTCAGTCGGAACAAACACTGGACAAAATCGTTTGGCGGGTGGTACATCATCCTCTTGTTCGCCTTTTTGTGGAATAACAAGACCTTGGAAACAAATGGGACAACCGACATCATTTTTGTTGTTCTTGAGATGTGTTATGATCTTTTGAAGGGAAGCATTGTTGTTGGCGTGTTCGGGTATGAGGTCATTAAGACTGTCAAGCTGGTTGTGAAGAGAAAGTAGCATGGTAGATGAGACGGCAGTGAATTCGGAGTTGGGATTGGGGAAGTTTACCACAGAGTTATTGTGGTATGACTGAGACAACAACTCGATATATGAATGGCTTGCATCTGTAGTCTCTAATTGAATACTATTGAGCAACTCAAGATCACGAATTAAGTAGGCACGCGATGCGATGGTCTTTCGCTCTTGTTCCGGTATCTCAACACTTGCTAGTCGCAACGTAGCCACGCCCACAAATCGACAAGACACCCAACGGACAATAGTTACTAGACTTTCTTCAGTTATTGATTGGTTGTCGCTAAAATGTAGGGTTAAGCTATTAAGACTTTGTTTTTGAATTAAAGATTCCTGTGATTGGGTTGAGCTTGATTGTAATAGGCTTTTGGCATGACATTGGGCATAGTCGGTTTTTAAGGCCATTAGATTAATGTCATAGAGCGCAAACTCGTCCTTATTTGCTATGCTGGCTTGCTTAGGATTCATTGCAGTGCATGCGAGGTAGGCATCAAATAATACACTTCTAATTTGAATTCCATAGCTACAAAGCTCTTCCAACACGTCATTATGCAGGCTAAAGTCAGTCTTGCCCAGCAGTAGAGACAGTTTGTCTAAGCCAAGACTCTGAACTGTTTTGTTTGCTTGTATAGCCGTTGCTACATGTTTGAATAGGGAGAACTCTTGAATTTGATCTGGGTGCTTGTGATACTTGACTTCATCTAATTCAAGGAAGTCATTGATCACGAGTGCTTTGACATTTTGGGCTTTAGAGAAGGCGAGAATCTGGGTGATTGCAAGGTTGGTGAAGTGCTGGTTCAGAATATGGATCTCGATCGGGCCATCTAAGTCGTAGTGTCCCAATATCCAATAAATAATGCTGATATCAACATTGTCTAAGATCAGAATTTTGACATCAAGGGAGTATTTGGGCCCTTTAGTGGTCTCGGTTATTAGAGTATCTAAATTAAAGTCACTGGCGGTTTCATTGTTGTTGCAAATGTTTGTGATCTTAAGTTCCTGGGCAGTAATGCTTCGAAACACCTTTAGCAAGCCGATACAATCTTTTGTTTGGTTGTCTCTTGGGCACTCATCTCCTTTAATTTCAATGGCTCTGTAGCGGATGTTTTGACAGAAGCACATTGCGTGCTTATCTTGATATCTTTTGAGCCAGAAGGATAAATCAGGATGCTCAAGTTGAATGCAAACTCGCTCTTGAAGCATCCAGTTATTATCGCAAAGAGTGCCGCCTTGGCAGATAATACTTTTGTTGTGGACGTCAATAGGCATGGCCGATAAAGCACAGATATTGCAAAAGACCTGTAGGGTTTGATATAAATCATCCCGTTGGCCTTCGTAGTTGAGATCAACTTCCTCAACGAGGAGACCATAGTGGATAAGGGATTCTTGAGTGTAATATTCCCTGTGTTGGGCTAAGGACCGGCATGGCATGCGTTTGGAGACTTTGGAAACTACCTTAATAGCATCAAGCCATAGCTTAGTAAAGGGACAGTTTTGAATACCTTGGTAGAATAGCTCTTCTGACTCTGGAGTGATATTAAGACCGGAGAGAGTATGAACTTTGACCTGGGTGGTGTTGTGGTTGTAAAGACATCGAAAAGTATCACAATCCATATGTAGAGCTAGCGCGGGATGGCGTGTGGTGGCATTCTCAAGACCAGTTAGTGTTATCTTCGTACTCTCAGGCCCATCAATAATGATGCGGCTGCATTCGACATTGATCGCTTGAAGGAATCCACAATCAATTTCAACTACTTTAGGCGGGGATGAAATAGCGACGATGTAGTTCGTTTTTAGCGGTAGATGAATAAGAAGCGGCGTGTTTTGAACTTCGTTCTCGTCTAAAAAGACTGTGTAAATCGGCCGTAACACAAAGATGCCACTGATTAGCAAATCCTGAAGCTTACTATTCTTTGTAGTTGAAAATTGCCGTTGACACGCCGACTCTGGAGCACCATGTCTAATTGTGTTTTGAGCTTCTTCTTGGCAGGCAGTCCTAACTAGCTCGGTGGGCGGTGCTTTGTTTTTCTGATTGGGATGCAAGCTGATTTCTATGGTGGGACCAACAAACATATTAACAAGCCGAGATAGAATTTGCAAGTTTATATGATGACAGATTGGATCGGCCACTGTGTATGAAATAGAAACATACTGAGTAGCAGGCATCTTAATCACGGCAATCTTTCTTAACTCGGTCAATGCCTCCTTGGCACTATCTATATTTGGATAGTCGGGTAGATCAATTGTGATAGACAGTTCATTGTACTCTATCATATAACTAGGAACATTGTCTTGTACTGGATTATTGGGTGTACTTAAGGCCAATTCCGCTACGGCATCTATGCCTGGCTCGGCTGGCGGAATGGGAATATACGGTCTAATCAACAATGTTTCTATCTTGTTGTTAAAAGTACAACCAATCAATTTCATGGTTTTAAACACATCTTCTATGGTAGGCGAAGCTGGCTGAGCAGTCACAATTGCTAAATCCGCTTCACTTGTTCCAGATGCACTATTCAAAAACAGAACCAAGACACACATCCCAAGACTAAACCAGAATCTAATCACTTTAAAATCGGAAATTTTGGACATCTTAACGGTAATCATTTTCTGATTGAACATGGCCCAAAAATTAAAATTGCCAAGATCACATCTATGATCTTAAAAGGAAATATAGTCGGTTTAGATATCAGTTGTTTTTTAGTAAGAATGAGTTGGTATTAGGTTAGGTTGTGTTGGGTTGGGTTGGACGGGGTTCAATTTATTGATGATGTTGAGGTAGTATTGGGTTCAACTTGTTGAATATGAGATTAGTATGGGTTAGTATTTGATGTTTTTCATATATCCTAACATAACTGTTTATTGGTTGGTTTGGTTTGGTAGAAGAGAATTTGGGTGGTTATGGGCCGCTGGTCCTTCCATAACTATCAGTACTTCTTGTTGATTCAGATTCAGAAGGGGTAAGGTAGATGGTTGAGGGGATCAAGTTGGTGTTGTGAATTAGGTAGAGGCCCTGGTCTGCCTGTTGGAATGGTGTTGTGTGCAAGAAGGTGGTGAGAGTAGTAATTGTGGCTTCATTGACGATAGGCTGGGCAAAGTAAAGGGTGAGTGTATTAGCAGTTTGATAATGTGTTTGGAGGTATTTGAACATTTGGTTGGCATTTGAGGCGGTTATTAGTTCGACCTCAGCTGCGAAATAAATATGACAATTAACACCGCTTAGATTTTGAGGTAGGAGTTGGGCCGAATTAGTATTAATTTGCATGATTTGGTCAAACGTGGTATTGTATAAGAAGAGGTCGGTTTGTTTTGGCAGATTGCATATCTGTGAGTGATAGTTTGGGTTGTAGTAGAAGTCATGAGAAAAACAGATTGGTATTGTTAGTTTATCGTGTGTGATTAGAGTTAGAGCTGAGATGATGTCAATATCAACCAGTAGAAAAAGCCGGGCGAGAATAGTGTGGGGGAAATCAAATTTGGCCGTGGCGTCAAAGGACTGAATGTCGGCTGCTGAAACCTGGAGTGTAATTAGTTGGCAATTTGGAGCATCAAGAAGTGCAAGACAGGACTCAAGTGATGGAATCCTGGTGTTGATGATTCTGATTATTAGTCCAAGAGTGTTGATTTCTAGTGAGTTTAGTAGGCCTGTGAGATAAGAGAAAGCAAATCCGTCTAAAGTCAGGGTTTGTATGCGGGTGCTGTAGGGAGCTATTATTGGAATGCTGGTTGTTGTGGCGGTTGAATGGTATGCTTTGGGTGTGTTGATGGCTTTGATTGCTCTGCTGGTTGTTTGGACGAGATCAGAGATTAAGTAAGTTAGTAGCCGGCAATCAATACGGTTTCGGTCAAACTCTTGCTCAGTTTGATCTTTGACTTGAATGGTCGCCTCAGCATATATAGGCTGTGGAGGCATGTTTATGCTCATGAACAGTTCCTCGCGAGCGCTCAAGTTAGAGGTTATGTCTTCGATGTTGATGGTTATGGGTGGCAGTAAAGTGCTGTTTACGTTTATGTCGGGTAGTTTGGAGAACTGAAGAGACTCATCAACTTGGTTTTTGTTTCTCCACCATTGAGGTGAAGTACTGCTAGAGGCTGCAACATGCTGAGCTGGGTTGGTATTGGGAAGATCATCGTTGGCCGTCGGGGTAGTGAGGACAATGCCGATTTGGCCCAAAAACTTACGGAATAGATCATGCTCCTTTGGGTCTAAATCAAAGTTACTGTCAATGCAAATGTTTAAATGGCTTAAATATAGCTTGTAGTCATGCATTGTGGCTGGTATACTGCAGTAACTTTTGACTATGCTCTTGGTTAGTCCAAAGATCTCTAGATTTCCTAACTCAACAGAATGTTGAAGAGACAGCAGGTTTTGTTGGCCCTGAAGACTAATTTGAAGTGTTAAGTTGCGTAGGTGTACTAGGTCGGTGTTGCATTTGGGCTCTAATTGGCTATTGGTCTGGCACAAGTTGAGGTGTATTTCAATCCGAGAGGTAAGGCTATCTTGAGGTGCTTGAGTTAGAATGATTTTTCTAGAGCTATCTTGAATTATGGTTATGAAAAGTGGATGGGTAGATGGCACTCGAAGGCGGTGAATCCAGTCAAGAGAGAATGTATTGCATTGTAGGCAACCAATTCCCTTGACTATTGCGACACCGTGTAATATTGGTGCTATATCCATTGCAAAAGAGGCATTGCATCGGGCTAGCAGTAGAATTACCTCTGGATAGATTGTGTTAGTGTTGAAGTTGGCCGCGATTGGCTTTGAAGGGTTGGATTGAGTTGGAGTACTTGTCTGCTCATTAGCAAAAGATGTGGGGTAGTTAAATCCAACAAACTCAAGGCTTTTATAAGGAATGGCTCGAATTATTTGAGCTAAGAGTTGGGTTAGCTTTATCTTCTGCTCGACAGTAATTGGAGCAGTAATAGCATTGTGTATTCTTAGAGTATCACACTGGTGCCTCTTTAAGGCAGAGACCAAAGCCGCTTCGTCATTGACAATTGCAATATGAAATAGTTCCAAAGTCAGGTTAATATAGTTTGAAGATATGTTGTATAGATGTCCATTGGGCAAAACGCCTAAACTTGCTGAATCAAGTCGAGCAGTAGATATGGATTGGGGGAATTGTGTAGTACATCTATATCCAAGGATCACAGCTAAGATCAGTCCAAAAAGCCTGAATGTCTTATTTTCCATCAAATGCAAAAACCCATCTAATTTAGCTGATTTATGGCGCTTTATTTCCTTTTTAGGGCATATTGAAAAGTTAAGTTGTCTCGCATTTCATCATAAAATGGCCAATATCATACTTACTTGTTCCATACAAAATTTCCTTATTAGGAAATTTCTCCATTACCGAATTAGGAAAGATGCAGACGATATAAACAAAAAATTTGGCATCAAATCCAAATGAATTCAGACAATCATCCCAACTTTAACCCAAAACAAAAGAAGCAATCAAATACTAGCCCTGCCCTTAGTACAGCTCCAGTAGGGGCAGACTTGCAAAAGGACGCTGATCCTAATGCAAGCGCTTACTTGTCTCCCTCTTATAACCACCGGGCTAGCTGCCATGGTGGGTGTTTTTATAGCCAAACTGAAGCAATAACAACTGAAGAATTAGACGAAAAGGGAAACAAGGTCATCCGCACGGTGTATAAGCCCGTCATGACCACGGGAGATAAGATTGGGTTGGCGATTGGTATTGTCACTATAATAATTGTTGTGATTGTGTTGATAGCTTGCAGTATCAAAGGTAAAATGCCAACACGTTATTAATGCAATCCCGGCCCACACAATGATATTCAATAGAAACTAGTTGCGACTAGGAGTCTTTGTGATATGTTTTGATCAAAAGGACGTGTAGGCTTTTCACTAATAAGATAAATGCAGCTCACTATAGTTAAAATATGAATACTAACTCAATACTACTTGGCCCCCATAATCAATAAATTGAGCCTAAATCAACCTAATACTGATGCAATCAAGTACAATCGGCTGAGAAGAACATAAACTTCCTAATTAGGAAATATCTAGGTCATTTAAACAAAAAAACTTGACATCATATCCAAATGAATTCAGGGAAACTCTTTAATTCAAAACTAATGCCCTCCACAGAATCCAACTCTGACTATATCACAGTTTCAGTTGGAGCGCACTCACCAGCCAGTATTAACCCTTATTCAACGGTTTACATATCTCCTTCTCTCAACCACTATGGCACATGGTCGGCCGGCGGAAATTATACTCAGCTGGACTCCGTAGAGCCTGGCACAGTCGATGAAACTACTGGGCTATACACTCGTCCGAGAGGCGTTATGACCACCCCACAGAAGGTAATTATAGGATGTTGTGTTGTCTTCGGTTTGGTTGCTTTGCTAGTGGTTGGTGGCCTAGGAATCAGCCACGCCATATCAAATGCGAGTTAATAATGAGAAAGGTAGTCGTCGTTTAACTAATAAGGGTTAGCATTAGGTTAGTATAATGCACGAATAATATTATTTAAATGGTTGCTATATGTTGATCTTTGAACAAATAACAAAGTTCTATCTTTTGCCATTGCAGTTGTTAATTTATGTATATTGATTAAAGTTTGCACATGTTTTTCTACATTTCCTAATTAGGAAAGATGTAGACGATATAAACAAAAATTTGGCATCAAATCCGAATGAATTCAGACAATCTCCCTAACTCTAATCCAAAACAAGAGAAACAATCAAATATCAGCCCATTCCTCAGTACAGCTCCAGTAGGGGCACAGTTGCAAAAGGACGCTGATCCTAATGCAAGTGCTTACTTGTCTCCCTCTTATATCCACTGCAATCGCTGGGGCCATAGAAGACACTGTGGGGCATCTTGTGGAGGACATTTCAATTCGGTTCATCCATATTATGGCACCACAGAGACAGTAACAACTAAAGAAGTAGATGAAACTGGAAATACAATCATTCGCACGATTTCCAAACCAGTCGTAAGCAAGACAGAAAAGATAGTGACAGGAATTTTTGTGGCTATCTTCACTATAGTTTTTATTTCAGTTTTTGTATTTATTGGTGCTAAAGTAGTTTCATCATTGATCAAGAATTAGTCAGCAACTAAAGATTAGCAATTACTAGTGAAAGGACTTGGTGTAATTCACCTATAACATGCCTTGCATAGTGTTGTCTGTGATTTTTCAATAAACAGTAAAGCTTCTTGATCTACATTAGATGTTGTGAAATTTTGAATAGTTCAATACAACCTAATACTAACCCAGTGTAGTATCGTTACCCAGCCACTACTCTTTCCTCACATCAAATCGTTTATTTCTTGACTGATCGCATTAGTATTAGGTTAATAGTGGGTTGGTAGAGTATGACGTCATATCATCGTCTACATTCAATAAATGGCCGACTATGTCCTATCAAGACATGTCACTGCTGGAATTTGTATTAGTTAAGATGGACTTCGTACTGGGTTAGTCAATACTAACTTAATAATTCCAGGGCATTTTGATGCACATAGTTCTATCGAATAAATCACCCTTTACAAGCTTGGAGTAAAATTTCCTTATTTGGTAATTTGCCCGGCATAACGAGTTTTTCAAAAATCAGTGATCCTCCCGCTTTTATCATGACCAACTCAAACAGCAACTCTCCTCACTCCAACGATGACCAAACAAGTCCAAAAGATATACCCCCAACACAACAGAATCAAAATCCAACTGAATGTCCCAATCCCGTCTATCTAACTACTAGCACCATGCAATCCTCTAGCATAACTACGCTAACTGCACCAATCGACCCATTTTCTTTAATTGCACAAGCTAGCCACCGGGACTCGTGCCGGGACTGTTCACATTCTAGGGATAGCACTACCTACCAGTATACAGTGCTACAAACCCAACAACCAGACGGATCAATTTGTTACACCGTTACAACAGAACGAATTTACTCGACCGGCGAGAAAATTGTGGCAGCAGTAACCACTGTAGTGTTCATACTTATCGTATTTGGCTTTATAACCGTCTCAATCTTAAACAGATAGAGGCATGGCCATAGTACAATAAACTATGACGTGTTAAGATTTGTTTTGAATCAGATTTGCAAATGACATATCCGTGTATGGAACCTGCCGTAATTATCCTAGCAACACCCGACAAAGCAACCGGCACTTATTGAGTTACCCTCTCGCCATGCATTCAAGCACAATCTAACCAGAGATATAAATAATGTGTTTAATCAACCCACACTCACCCATTACCCACTTAACTAAGCGCCATTACCAACCCAACCCAACACCAACTCAATCAAGTACTAACCAAACACCAACTCAACTCAACCCAATAAAACACCAACTCAACTCAATACTACTAACGTGATTTATTGAAATAATATAAGTACTTGCCACTCGGACTGGCTATCTAACTGAGGGAATACCGACTAATCCTAAACCCAATTCAACCCATACCAATGCTAACCCAACTTCTTGATCTTTTTCGTAAGGCTCTTGGTTCGTTTGTTTGTGTCTTTATCCATAATCACCATCTCTTTGGTTGCATGGGTTTGGGCCCGAATTCGTTTGGTTTGTGACTTAACTCCTTTTCTTAAGGTCTTTAGTCCTATTAAAGTCTTCTCAAGCTCAGCATCAACATCCCCCTCTTCACCCGAGGCTTCTAGAGCTTCCGCCGCTGCTTTTTCGTCCACTCCGTCGTCGGCAGCCAGCCTCTCGTCTTTCTGAGCCTTCTCTTCCTCATCAGTCGCTGCCTTATCAACCGCACTAATAGCCCGACGCCGCCCAGTAAAGAAGTCTCCAATCGCATCAAAAAACCGGTTGCCAAAGCTCACTAGATGTCCTGAACGGCCAATTTGCACAACCCGCTCTTCGTTTGTCTCGATTGTCTTTCTAATGCCTTTCTTGCGCTTTAGAGTATCAGTAAGTACTTCATCCTGTTTAGCTAGTGACTTAGTTGTTTTGTGCGAAGTCCGCAAGGCGCCGCCTAGTGCTCGGTTGGCCCCTTTAACAATTTTGAAGGCATCGTTGGCATCGTTCTCTTTACGGCTAGCCAGAAGTTCTAGTGTGTCGTTTGAAGAGGTACTTGAAGAGGAACTATCGGCCAGGTCGTGAAAGTCCAGCTGCTCTCTGCTCTTCTCCGGCATACTCCGTAATTCCCACCCAAAGACCAATTGGTCAGACCGGCAGATGTGCCAGTAGTTGTACAACTGCGTCTAGATTCACATTGCTGCAGATGTTATGGGATTCACGAATAGGCAATAATTCAGCTGTAAACCGTAGCAGAGCTTCTGGTACTTCCTCCTGCGGAGTCTCAGTTTGCAAGCCGTAGCACCGACCCAGAAACTGGTAGACAGCTGGATAGGACATTTTAGATAGCAGTGGCACTAAAGCCAAAAACCCGCGTTCATAAAGGACTTGGTGCTGAGCAATTACTAGACGAGGTACTGCTTCTACACTATCGCGCAAGTCTTCTTCTGGTCCACCCAATGACTCCTTAGCTTGAATTTCCACCAATGTGCGGGCCCGTTGGGCATCTCCTAAAGCCAAAAGCAAACGAGCACCTTCAGCTGCTACTCGTCGGGCATTCTCTGCATCGCGTTGGGCTAAGAATCGTTTAAGACCGGCCAAAAGAATCCCACCTGCATTCTTGCGTTCACGAGCCACCAGACCTTCAGCCGCCGCACAGAAAACAAAGACAGGTGCTCCAATCTTACCTTCCCGCGTCAGAGTCACCAAGTACTTACGTACACCAATAATATCCCGGTGCCGCAACAAGGCCGAGAAGAAGACTAAGTAGAAAGAATCACTCTGAGCTGTAATACTTGGTGGGGCTTGTTTCAACAATGCATCCGGATCGAACTGATAACTAGTTAGGGCGGCCAGTACGGATAAGGACCCATTAGTTTTAGCCAAAGAAACCGTTAAACTCTCTCCCAAACGAGTATTCCGTTCTGATGTCCCATGAGCAGCCACCACCGCTTGTGTCTGTGGATTGGCAAAGTAAGCATTTTCCAAGGGACCAGTCTTAGCCAGGAATAAGGCCTTATAAACCGCCAAAGGCGCTGAAGTAGGCATTTGTTCAATAGCTGCATCCAAAGCATAAAGTGTTACATTAGCTGGGTACAAAGGATGCATATCTTGGTGACGTTTAAGAATGTATTCAGCAGCTGCCTCAGCCCCAGGAAGGACTGCATTACGCAACCGATTGGACTCAGCTATAGCAGCAGCTTCTTTAGCTACTAAATCTTCTGAGGTTTTTACTCCTCGTTTCGTTGCTTCATAACTTCTATGGAACTCTATAAGTGTTTCGACTCTAAGCAGCGGCACCTCAAGCGATTTCATATAGGCCTCTTTGATTGCGTCTTTTTCTTCAGATTGCATCAACATTTCTAAGTACTGGATTTTGATATCAGTGCTTTCAATACTAAGCATAGTTCTAGTATAGGCGTAAGTTTGTGCTTCACGCAATGTTTCTTTAGATTTAGTCTGCGCGTATTGCAGATAAAGAAGCCAAAGATCACAACAATGGGTTTGCCGTAAGGATGAAGAGAAAATACTCTCTAACTTCTTATTGTTTTTCTTACGGAAGGCATCTTTAGTTTCTCGAATAATCTCTTGTAGTGACATGAAATAAAAAAGAGGGGTGGTATAAGTATTAGATTGCGATCTGGTTGTTATGGGTTGTTGTGAGTTGTTGTGAGTTAGTATTTCAGTTTGGATTTTACTTGTCGTCTTTTGGTTGTTAAGTAGATTGTTGATCTAAAGGTCTAACCTGGCCAAAACTTACCCTAAACAGATACCAGTTCCCATTCCAATCAAGTACTATTTCGTCCTATTTCACACCCAATCAAAAGACCAGTCTATTATGTTGAGTTGGGCATTGAGTTGGGTTATGTTGGGTTAGGTTAAGTATTGAATTGGTATTAGGTTATGTTGGGTTAGATTGAGTTAAGTTAATATTGAATTGGTATTAGATTAGATTGAGTTAAGTTAATATTGAATTGGTATTGAATTGGTTTGGTTTGTTGATATATGGTGATGTGTAATGTGATATGATGTGATGTGATGATTATATCATACTACAACTTAATCTAACCTAATACTTAACTTAACCTAACCTAACCCAATACTCAACTCAAGTCAATCTGGAGTTGTTTTCTAAGATTTGGAAATATCGGAATTAATCTCTAAGCAGTGCTGGTTAAAGTAAGTGTTAGTATTGAGTTGGTATAAGTCAATTGAGTTGAGTTAGATTGAGTTGAGTTAGTGGATGGTAAAGTAGTAATGAAGTTGTAATGAAGTTGTAATGAGGTATTGTAAGACAAAATCAAGTGTTAATAGTAGTAAGATCGTTTATTTACTGGAAGGTCTTTTGGTCGAAGAGAGTTAGAGTAATGGCTGAAAGGAAGGCAGAAATAGACCCTCCTTTATCTAGATAGATATTCTTCTCTTTGTCCATCTTCTTAACGAATGGACTTCCCTCAACTGCAATCTTGCCTGTTTCACTTATCAGCAAAGTAATAATATCCTCTTCATCAAAGGCAAAGAGAGACCGTAACAGAATTCGGTTTCCCTGGATGGTAATTTCATACCCAAAGATATCTCCTAAGATTTTAACGATGTTTTGAATTCGATTCTTGTATCTAGCTGCTAATTCAGACTCTCTACTTGTCATTTTTAGTTTTTCCAGAAGACTCCATCTTATGTAAGGCATTGAGTAGTTCGGGAATCGTTAGTTCTTCGACAAAATCCGGAAGATTATCTGGAGCCTGGGTTAGAGACAGACTGATAGAAGGTCGAGTAAGACGACTGGAAAGAGCTTTAATTTCCTGCCGAAGTGTTTGTTTGAGGTCTTTCATCCCACAAAAATTAGCAAGATCAATCTTAACCCAATATATGTCCAGTCATGGAGTAGTTAAGTATATATAAATAACATATAGGTATATCTTTATCTCAACTCAACTTAATACTATCTTAACTCAACTCAACTTAATACTATCTTAACTTAACTTAATACTATCTTAACTCAACTCAACTTAATATTATCTTAACTCAACTTAATACTATCTTAACTTAACTTAACTCAACTCAACTCAACTTAACTTAACTTGAACGGTATTTATTTAGCGGGCGCAATGATAGGCCAACTTAAACTGGTCCTGCTTCAGTCTAGTGCAGGTCTAGATAAACCCAAGCTCAACTCAACTCAACCAAACTCAAACCCAAACTCAAACCCAATACCAACTCAATACTAACTCAAACTAATCCTAACACATCTATACTCCTTTATTTGGATGTTCTAGGCCTTAGGCGGGGCCAGAGTAAGACGCGGTAGAATGTTCTTTCTAACATAGTCTTCATACTCAGATTGTGACTTGCGGTAGGCAATAGAAGCCTCAATGTTAGCTGGTGAATCGGTATTAGGCTCATTAAGAAGAAGCATAATGGAAAGAAGAATTGTACGTACGCAAAGAACTGGCGACCACTGCTCAATATCCATCTCACCCGTATGTGGGTCAGTATGCGGGGTATGCAAAATAGAGATGCAGACTTTGCCATCTTCATAGATATTCGGGTGGTACATCTTAGTGACAAAACAAACGCGTGGTGGAGATAAGGGATAATCCTGGGGGAAGAGCATTGATGCGTTCAAAATATACCCTTCATAAATCGTCTCGGCAAATCCGTTAATTTCAATCTCCCACTTATAAGTATAGCCAGAAGGACCGTCTTTGCCTTCCTCATAGGTCAAAACAGGACAAATGGTGAACCACGAACAATCTGGATCCTCAGTTAGTTTCTTATACTCAGTTCTAAGCCGGCGATTAGCTGGCTCATACGGAACTTGTCTAGTTTGAGTCTTTATAGGTCCTTCTTTCTTATCTGTGCTTGTCCGGTTATTATTGCTATCGCTAATATCAACTACATGTCGGTGCCTATGTGTCTCACCCATTCGCAAACAAACTAAAATTGTTTGGCTTTATGGTAGCTGGGGTGGCTAACCCCTGGCAGGGGGGAGAATTGTATTGGCTGATGGAACTAAGGAGGTGGCTGTGTCGATGTTTTTGGCTTTGGTCTGAGAAATATTGAAGTAATTATGAATAGTACTCCAAATTCCTGTGTTTTTTGTGATTTGATGGTTTATCTCGTTGATAAGATTGGTGATTAATCGGTTGGCGGCTGCGGTGGCGAAGAAGAGAAGGAGGGAGATAGCTATAATTAGGAGAAGGGCGGCAATGACTTGGAACCATTTATGACGTGCGGTGGAGGTAGTGCCTTTGTAACGGCCTTCTAAGTAGTTGGCAATGATGGCATGGACTTGGGAAGTTTTGGCAATGATGATACCGTAGAAAAGAGCGTAGATACCGGAGAAGAAAATAAAGCGAGCGGCTTCATTCGAACTAGTTATAATTTGGACAAAGGCGGTAACAAAGAAGAGGCCGGCTAAGGTGAAGAGGGGGAAGAAGAAGACACGGCAGGCAATTCGAATGGGATTGCCTTGCCAGTTGAGCACGCACATGCCAGTGAATCCGGAGCCGAAGAGAATTAGAGTTTGAAGGAGAAGAAGACCGGCTTGGGTAATAAGACCGAGTTGGGCGGAGTCCATGGCCTGGATAAAGAAGAGAGTGAAGAAAAGGAAGCAGATAAGAGTGAAGACAGTTAGGACAATAGCATTGGTGAGATCACTTGGGACTCTGTGTCTTTTGTAGGTAATAGTGTTGTAGAGAAGAACAAAAGCAGCTAGTGCGCCATTGATGACGTACTGGGTGCAACTATAGATAGGAATCTTTTGAATTGGCTCAGCGAATAATCGGTTGTAAGTACTGAGATGTTCTATCTTTAAGGTGATAAGACCAAAAGCCAGGAGAATGGAGCAGCAAAGAGTGATGACTCCAAGGGTATAATGAATGGGTTTGAATTTCATTTGGTGGATTCTGTCAATGTTAAGAATATCCTGGTCGCTCATGTTATCTAAAACTGTAGGATTATTGGCGAGTTTCTTGATCTCTGCTACGCGTTGTTTTTCTTCTGGGGTGAGTTCTATCGGTTTGAGTTGATGGGACTGTGTGAAAGATTCAGGACGAATTGTTGTTTTAATAAGATGGAATAAGTAGAGAATATTATCGATAACTGATTGTTTAGCCCTAGACATAACCTGGGCTACAGATGTAGATCGAGTTTTAGGTTTATCCTTGCTCTTATCTATTTCATCAGCGGGTAGGAGTGGAGTAGTGTCCTTATCATTATCTGGTGAGATTTCGGTATCTAGGGGGTCTAAGGCCTGGCGTTTAGAACGTTTATGTGGTTGCTCAGATTGGTTAGATTGGTTAGATTGTTCGGCATTCTCTTTAAAATTAGGGTTGGCGAAACTCATGTTGTTATGGAGATTAGAGCGGGGGCTGACTGATTGAAAACTCTCTTCTTCGTAGTTGGGATTAGTGAATCCTTGGCTGAGTTGAGACTCTTTCGATTTGTTAGATTTGGAGATACTGTTTTTTGGTATTTCAATTTCAATCGGCGTATTGTATGTATCAGATAAGTCTTCACTATCTGATTTTAAAAGATACTCCTTATCTTTAGTGAGTTGTTTGGGCACCGACTGATTAGATTTGCTAGTTAGTACTAAAGTAAAGGCTAAAGCAAATAAGAAAAGATATCGAAACTTATTTGGCATTTGAATTAGCTGATTCATGCTAAAAAATTTATGATCGAATGATGTTTGGAAATGAGCTGGCAAATTACCCAATAAGGAAATTTTTCCCGATTAGGAAAAATAAGTGGTTGTGAGATGAATGAGTAGTGAAGGAGTGGTTTGTTTTTTTTATGCAGGAACAGAGTGCAGGGAAGATGTTAGAGAGGCTTCAAAAGATGTCGCCGGTCGAGATACGTCGAGAGAGAAGCCAGTTCATTGCTGAGATAGCTCGGGGACGATTTAGTGAATCGGAAAAGCTGACTTTGCGAATGGAGTTGCAAAAGCGACTCTTAGAGAGCAGAACACAACAGGAACCTACTGGAGAAATTGGTGCTCTAGCCGGAGCTGAAAAGGCTATTACGGCCCAATGTGAAATGTCAGCAGTGGCATCACGACGACTGGCCGAATCGGATGCCAAGCTTATGCGCATCAAAAGCACTCAAGACCGACTGGCGCAAGAGATGGACAGGGCTGAGAAGACAATTCAGAAGCGGAAATCGCGCGAGTTTCGGGATGACATTGCCTTTTTAGGGGCCTTAGGACTCTTTTTTGCTGTTTGTATCTATGTACTGCTGAGTAGACTGGTTTTGAAATGAGTCGAAGGGTTCGGAATGAATGCTGAGTAGGTTTTTTATGACGTAGGATGGGTTAGTATGTTGTATTTGTTAGTTGGTCGGGGTCGGAATGGGCTCATCGTATTTGTTGATTTTCATACTAACTCAAGACAGTGTCAGAACGTGAGTATTTAGGAAAAGAGGAGAAGGCATATATGTTATTGCTGGTGTGCTTGTATGCAGGTTTAGTTGCTGCAATAGTCCCAGATTCGTCTTTGGCCGATATCTCACAAAATGATGTCTTTTCGGTCGTTTGTCTATTTATGCTGCTGTCCTTGACATTCTCGGTTTCCTTCTTTGGAGTAAAGCGACTGATGGAGAAATCTCCTAAGTTGACTTCTTCTATCCATCCACCAACCACTTATTCTCATGAAACTATTGCCTTCTAAGGAGTATTCCTTAAAAGGAATATACCTAACTAGCCAGCCACTACTGGCGTTTAAATAAATAAGTACAGCGTATTTAGTGTGTTTAATGTATAGCTTAGCTCGTTGCTTGTTAGTTTGTGTGTAGTGTAATGTACTGTGAATAAAGAGTGCTTTGTTATAGCAAGATCTATGATTCCAATTCTAACCCAACTAAATCTAACCCAACTAAATCTAAACTAAATCTAAATCTAAACTCAACCAAAAACTCTTCTAATTTCAAATTCTGTACACTTTACTTTGGAATTTTACTACTAACTTAAGATTAAATTGGCATTGTATTAGATAAGGTTGGGTTGAGTTTAGGTAAAGTTGTGTAGAGTTGAGTTTAGGTAAAGTTGTGTTGCGTTGGATTAAGTTGAGTTCAGAACAAACAGCAGACAAACTATTGGTCCCATCGACTCTCTAGTGGCATTAATTCTAAAGAAGAGTACACAAGTTTATACCCCACTGTGGTCTCTGTACCATCCCCTGCACATCTTAATGAGGCTCTCGAGATATCTCTACTTTTAGACGAGTAAGTGCATATAATGTAGATATTTATTCCGTGCTACTTTAGATAAGCCAGACCCAATTAAACCAACT